TTACCACTAACAACAATACTTAGGTTAATTTTATTGTCATGATGACCGGCAGTTCGACAGTAGCTTTGAGTTCCTTTCTGTTAGTGTCCTCAATTATGATGTGGGTGGTCAAATCTACAAGTGAAGATTGCTTGTGCTTATGTTTGAGTTGTTGCTCGTAATCTTCCAAGATTCTGGCAGCTTTTCAATAAGCAATCCTGTAATAAACTCATCTTGCAAATTGATGTTTTCAACCTTGAGATCTTCCAGTAATTTGTGGTATTCATTGATTTGCATCTTGATATCTTTGTCATTTGTCATCTCCTAATTGTAAAAGTTGCCAGTAACAAATTTTTGCTCCTAACATCTTCAGTAGTATAGTTTAGTTTCATTGAATCTTATATATCCTTGGCTTCTTTAAATAAGGTGCTAATGATTGTATGCCTACACACCTTATTAGCAAGAGTCTATGTTTCCAATTGTTTTGGATAAGATGATGGTCCAAGTTTAAGATCTATGAGAGCAGCAGCTACACCAAGCATTTCAAGGATCGAAATAATGCTTTCTTGCCATCTTTTTAATTTTTTTTCTCTAAACATTTCAATTTTGGAGATGTCAAAAAAAGGTTTAGCATATGAAACTACGGTGACTACTGGAATAGCAAAGGCAACCAAATGGGACACTCCATGAAGGCCAGTAGTGGAGGAGTTGCCAGAAGCTACAACAACATAATTGTTAATAGTAGCAGCATTACAAGAATTGTTGGCGGCAGCAACTGAAGGATTGCTGTCGAAAGTAAACTCCATAATCCTTAAGATTGTTGTAAAATATTTTAGAAAATAGGGAAAGGTAGAAAACCTGAGATGTGTTATAAACATTGTTCTTAAAGATTATTTCGCTACAACAATTATTTAAGAATATGAAAATCCCTTAGGATTCAACAAGTTCTTCTTAAATAAATTCCAGGTACACAGAATAGTAGGAAAATTTTAATTAACCCCTAAAAGAAGTTCAGAAAGGAAGGTTGATGACTAGTAAAATTCTAAAGAACAAATAACTTTTTTTATAGTGTAAAACTATAACGTTATAAGATAAGGATAATGTTAACTTCAACAATTAGTATAGCGTCTTGCTAAAGTTGAGGAATAATAAGGTCAATAGGATAAAAATAAAAATGGGCCTCACAAATTCTTTTTGAAATAGCAATATTAATTCAACATGGTCTTAATTCGACAATAAGTTAGCGTCGTTTATGAAGAACGACACCAACTATGTGTCAACTTAGGCCCTTCTATGATGATTTAATAGCCTAAATCCAACAAAATTTTGCCTTCGAAGATAGTTCCAAGTTGGCTTCGTTTAACTTGGTAGATCAAGTCATTAACCGGCATAAAGCTGGCGTCATATACTAACAGTTGTGCTAAGCTCTTGTTGTTGAGGCCTTTCATGAGAGGTGCAAGGCCACATTAATGAAACAACACCAATTCAGTATCGTTTTGTAGGACAATACCATTTAGGTGTTGTATAAGTATAAGTAGAGTGACACATGTGTAGCATCATTCCGTGTATGCAAAATGGAATTTAAAAAATAATAATAGAACACTTGGAAACCTGTTAGCAATTGCAATATTTAGATTCCTATGCATTTCTGAATATGCTTCAATGATATCACAAACATACGTAAACTTACAAACTAAGAAAAATACATAATGTCATTGTAGAGAAATCCTCTATATGAAATACGATTTCAAGATTGAAAAGCATGATATTTTCCCCTTGGATCAATTCTTTTGTCATAGAAACACCTGTATATATTAATCAATCAACAGTTAAATACATTATTTTTTTCCGTACAATAAATGCAACATATTGAACTCATATTTGCACTATAAAAATTATTTGATGAAAGAAGCCATACATAGGGCTATACACGAACTGAGCAGTTTGCAAACTGCTCGAGCTTGGCTCGCAGAGGTTCAAATTTGACTCAAAGTCTGTCGAGTCGAGCGTAATCTCGAAGCGTTCGATTCGTATACAAACCGAGTTCCAAATACAAGAGTACTTGACTCAAAGGATCGTCGAGCTTTTGGAAGCTCGCGGCTAAACAAGCTTCAAGCTTGAAAATGATTGCGAGCTCGAAAGGCTCGCATATTTGATAAAAACGGCGCTCTCCCACTCCTAGTCTCCCTCAAAAAAAAAAAAAAAAAAAAATCCCAAATACCCCAAATCCCTAACTTTCTAAACATAGACCGAGAGAGACTCTCCCTTCCAACCCCAACCCCAACCCGAACCCCAGAACCAATCGAAGAAGGGAGAAAACATATTCCTCTCTGAAGCTTCAACCCTCACATCAAAATACAGACCCTGATTTCCTACAAAGCAAGCCAAAAAATCGATTCTCAATTTGTCTCTCTCTTTCGAAGACTCGATTCTCAACCCCAAGTCCCCAACCCAAAACCAATCGAAGAAATCAGCTTTCTCTCTGAAGTTTCAAGTCTGAATCGTTTATCTCTCTTGATTCTCGAATAGTATCAAGTAGAGGTATTTGTTTGTAACTTTTTAAATATCAATCTCCAATCCTTGTTCGATTTAGGGTTAATTTTTCTTTATATTGTGTTGATTTTGTTGAAAGTTGACACTTGAGATTTTGTTTTGTCATCAAACCCATCACTCGCTAGAAAGAGGCCGATTTTAGCTTTATGCCTTGAAGCTGTGACTGTGAACATCAATCCTTGCTTGATTTCATCGTGAACCTGTGAACATCAAGTATTTTTTCTTGGCATAATAACTTGAGGTACTGATAACACTAGTAAGTATACTACTGATTATTGATTATTGATATTAAATACTGATCACTTAGTTAGAGTGATTAGATAGAATTACATCTCATGCGCTTTTGTTGTTGTGTGGAAAGATTTCATATTACATGCTCATCCAAATGGGGCTACCATAGATGTAATTTGCCTTGAGGAAATCTCCCTTACATTTGTCTTTCTTTTTGTATTATAAATTCTACGAATTCAATATTCATTTTTAGCATAAAATAGGATAATGTCAATGTTTATATCAGGCTGGGCTAATCAACAAGATAGTCCAGTCCCTTACATTTTTCTTGTATGATAATAATCTTGTGAAATTTTTTATTCCAAGTTTCTAAATTATATTACAATAATAACTAATCATGTGTTTTTCTTATTTGCAAACAGATATGGCATCGACTCCTTCGAGTTCCACTCCATAAGGGGCACGACCCTCACCAGTGCTAGGTATAGAACAGCCAATTGGAAGTGACACTCAAAGTGACTTATTAGGTAGAGGATCGATCCCCACTGATAGTGATGCAGCAACTGTAGCTGTTGTTAATGAAGAAGATACAGAACAAACGGATGTTAACCCTTTTGCAAGGAAAAAGAGAACTAAGACATATGCAGTGTGGAAGGATTTTAGAGAAATTGATGTTCCTAACGGACTGAAAAAGGCCAAATGCATCCATTGCAAAAAGGAGGATTGCGATAATGGTCACCGGGAGTACTACTCACCTTTCAAGGCATTTGAAGACTTGTATATGGCGAAAGCTCTTTGAAAGGCAACAACTAAGGTTTTTTCAAGAAACAAATCTATCAGATGCAGGCAATGTTATCCCTATTCTTACCGTAGGTAAATTTGACATGGCGAAAATGCGAGAATTAGTGGCCACTTAGGTGCTGATGCATGAGCATCCCTTTACTATTGTGGAGGAAGAATGATTTAATAACATAAAGATCTTTATGTGATCCCTTAGTGGGAAAACAGTAGCCACAAGATGTGTAAAAATGATGCTATTACTTTGTTTGAAAAGGAGAAGATAAGGCTGAAGACTTTGTTGAAGGATGTTGACAGAATAAGCTTGACGACCAATTTATGGAAGTCAAGTAAAATTGGTCGTCAAGTAATCAGAGGATTGAGTACATGGTATTGACGGGGCATTTCGTAAATGGTAATCGGAGGTTGTAAAAACAGATTCTAAACTTCCTGTACATAGCTCCTCCTCGCACTAATTCCCAAATTGCATATTTAATTTATAAGTGTTTGAAGGAATGGGGTATAGAGAACAAGGTGTACACGATCTCAATGGATAATGCATCAAGTAATGATGTAGCAATCAAGATTTTAAAGAGAATTTGGCAATCGACAATAGGCTACCTTGTGGAGGGAGATTATTTCATGTTAGATGTTGCGCACACATCTTGAACCTTATTGTTCAAGATGGGCTATCCCAAATAAGGTCCATTATTGATGATGTTCATGATAGTGTGGCTTATGTGAAATAGATAGAGAGCAGGCTTACTGTCTTTTTAGAGATAGTGCAAATGTTACGTTTGCCAAACTGGAAGCTAATCCTGGACTGCAGAACAAGGTGGAATTCCACTTTTGGGATATTGTCAACTGTAGTGAAGTTTAAAAATGTCTTTCAAAGGTATAAAGAGAAAGACCCACATTATAATTGTTGTCCCACCATAGAGGAATGGGTAAAGGTGTAGCAAGTTTGTGAAGTGTTGGGGGTGTTTAGTACTATGAAATCAAAAGAGTTAATTCTTAATATTATTGTGAATAATGTACAACAATTATACAGACACCCAGTAATCAGCAAAATATGGAAATGAAATAATTATATTCCTAATAAATCTGATCCTTATCTCTAATGTGATAGTGTACAACTCAACATCCTAATCCTAACATGATTCTATACAACTCAACACTCCCCCTTAAGTTGGAGCATATAGATCATATGCACCAAGCTTACTACAAATAAAACTAATACGAGGACCCCTGAGTGATTTAGTGAGAATATCCGCTAGTTGGTTGTTTGAGTTGACATGACTAGTAATAATACAACTGGGCAAAATTTTCTCCCGAATAAAATGATAATCAATTTCTATATGTTTAGTCCTCTCGTGAAACACCGAATTAGAGGCAATATGGAGAGCGACTTGATTATCACAATGTAACTTCATTTGTGATACTTCTGCAAATTTCACTTCTTAAATTAGTTGCTTCAACCAAATGAGTTCATAAGTCGCTAAGGCCATTGCATGATATTCTGCCTCTGCACTCGATCTAGCAACAACATCTTGCTTCTTACTCTTCCAAGATACAAGGTTTCCCCCAATAAGAACACAAAATCCTGAAGTGGAGCGTCTATCAGACAGAGCACCTGCCCAATTAGCATCAGAATACCTAACAACCTGTGTTGTGTATAACTCATGTTTTCATATAACAAACCTTTACCGGGTGCACCTTATATACCTTAGAATTCGAACAACTGCATCCTAATGACTATCACATGGAGACTGTAAGAACTGACTTACGACATTGACAAAGAAGGATACATCGGGTCATGTGATGGTGAGATAATTAAGCTTACCAACCAGTCTTCAGTATCTTCCAGGATCAGCCAAAGGATCCCCCTGTCCAGGTGAAAGTTTTGAATTAGGATCCATATGAGAGTTTATGGGTTTGCAATCTGACATCCCTGTATCTTCTAGAATATCTAGTGTATACTTTCTTTGAGAGATAACAATACCAAAGCTAGATTGAGTAACTTCTATACCAAGGAAGTATCTAAGTAGCCCCAAATCTTTGGTTTGAAAGTGGCTAAACAAGTGTTTCTTCAACTACTCAATACCATCTTGATCACTTCCTGTAATGACAATATCATCGACATAGACAACCAGATAGATGCATTGCTCTAGTGATATATGTTTATAGAAGACCGAATGATCAGATTCACACTGCACCATAGCAAACTCTCGGATGACAGTACTAAAACAGCCAAACCAGGCACGAGGACATTGCTTCAAGCTATATAGTGAGCGACGAAGTTTACAAACTTAGGTAGACTCCCTCTGAGCAAAAAACCAGGCGGTTGCTCTATATGTATCTCTTCTTGAAGCTCACCATGCAGAAATGCATTCTTAATGTCCAGTTGGTACAGAGGCCATAGTTAAATGGTAGCCATAGATAAGAACAAGCAGACATAAGACATCTTCACCACAGGAGAAAAAGTGTTATAATAATCCAACCCATAAGTTTGAATGTACCCTTTGGCTACTAGACAAGTTTTTAAGCGGTCAACCTCCCCATTCGGACCAACTTTGACAGTATAAATCCAATGACAACCAATAGTCGACTGCCCTAGAGGCAAATGAACCAATTCCCAAGTGTTATTATTATGCAAAGCAATCATCTCTTCAACCATTGCATGACGCCACTTGGGATCGGTTAACGCCTCATGATTATTGGAAGGAACAAACATAGACGAAATTGTGGACGCAAAACCAAATATGGTAAAGATAATTAATGATAACTAAGGAAATTATAAATTGGGTGAGAATTGCGAGTGGACTATATACCTTTACGAATGGCAATCAGAAACTAATCATCAGGAGTAGGATCGCGGCATGAGAGGAATCTAGAGCAAGACTTGTAACAAAAGCCTAAAAAACAGGGTCAATGATAATGTCAATACCTGTAAGAGGAATAAGAGCATCATCTACAGGAGGGAACACTCCTGTAGGTGAAGAAAACTATGAGAAGGGACAGATGCAGATGATTGACTAGAAAGGGGAGCAATGTAAGGTACGGGGAGGATTGCAGTTATAGAGGCACATTCTGGTGGAGATGAAGAGAAGAAAGGAGAAGACTAAAAAAATGTAACATCAACAGATATTAAATATCGATTTAATGTGGGACAGTAACACTTATAACCTTTTTGAAGAAGCGAATAACCCAAGAAAATACATTTGCTAGACTTGGCAGACAGTTTATCTTGACCAAGGGAGAAGACATGGGCAAAATAAGTGCAACCAAAGACATAGGGAGGAAGAGTAAAAAACTAGTCAGGGAACAAAATAGAATGAGGTACCTTGTTTTGTAAGAGAGAAGAAGGCATCCGATTGATCAAGAAACAAACTGTCAGCACAACATCTACCCAAAACTGGAAAGGAACCTAATTATGTAAAAGCAAAGTGTAGGAAGTTTCAATGAGATGTCTACTCTTACGCTTAGCAACCCCATTTTGTTATGGGGTATAAGCACAAGATGACTGATGGAGGAATCCCTAGGAGGACATGAATTTTGTAAAGGAGGCAGAAAAGTATTCACGAGCATTATCACTCTGCAACACACAAATATTAGTATTAAATTGAGTCTTAATTTCAGTACAAAAGGATTCAAGTGTGGAAAATAATTCAAAACGAGCTTTTCATTAAAAATAACCAGGTGCAACGAGAATAGTCATCAATAAATGTAACAAAATACTAAAAACTCAAAATAGACGAAACACAACAAGGACCCCACACATCTGAATGAACTAACTCAAAATGGACGCAACCCATTTATTGACAAGCTTGGGAAATGAACTACAAGAATGTTTCCCAAGTTGACACGACTCACAACTGAAAGATGATAAATTAGATAGACTTGGAACCATCTTCTGAAGCTTCAATAAACTAGGATGGCCCAAACGATTATGAAGGAGAATCAGAGATTCTGAAACAATGGATGCAATAGAGGCAAAAGGCAAATTGAGATGGTAAAGGCCCTGTGCTCATGTCCTACGCCAATCATCTGTCCCTTTTCTCGGTCTTATATAACAACAGAAGCATTATCAAAAGTGATAGAACAATTTAAAGACCGTGTAAGTTCACTGACAGACATAAGATTAAAAGCACAATTAGGAATATAAAGAACAGAGTCTAAGGCCAAGGATGAAAGTGGATGTGCACGGCCCACTGCTTTAACAATTGTTTTGGACCTATTAGCCATAGTGACAAAAGACAGAAGACAGAGTTATAGCAGTAGTAATGTGAGAAAGTAAATGAGGGTTACCAAAAATATGATTAGAAGCACAAAAATCAAGTACCCAAGGCTCTATAGGGGAAGACTGAGTGAGGCATGCAACTGAATTACACGAGTGAGTGATAGAGGCAACAGATGAGGAAGACTGCTTATTTGCTTGATACTTGAGATATTCTTCATAATCAGCACAAGTGAGAGTCAAGGACGGCTGAATGTTGATAAAAGTGATCAGTCTAAACAACATTAGAGGCTCAAGGAGGGCGACCATGCAACTTGTAGCATTTCTCCCTAGTATGTCCCCATCAATTATAGCAGCCACACTTAGGTCGACCTCCCTTGCCACCATGGTCTCCCTGGTCTCGTTTATAAGTGTTCTGAGTCTAAGAAGCCAAAACTAAAAAGTCAACCAAGGGAGATCTTGTCACAACACCAGGAGAGGAGACACAAAGTAATCAAGCAAACACTTCATCAAGAGATGGCATAGTGGCACTAGCCAGAATCTGATCTTGTATTGAAGTGAGATCAGTGCTGATAACAACAAAAGTAAGAACCATGAAAAAATTGTCTCGTTGGGCCAGATCTTCTGCTATAGACTTACCGACGAGCAATAACAAATTAAATTATACCTTAAGAGAAGCCGTTCTGCCAAGGAAGTTTGACATACCCATATCTTGTTGTTTGAGAGTAACCATACTAGACACAACAGAATATAAGCGTTGGATATCATTTGTATAAAGTAATTTGGCCCGATGCCATATCTCAAAACAAGTTTTGTATATTTTATAAATAGGGTGAAGGGGAGGGTCATTCGTCTGCCATAATAAACTACATAATAAAGTATCAGTCTTTACCCAAACTGCCTTATCTTTTTTACCCAAACTGCCTTATCTTCTTTGATATCTTCGGCCTTAGTAGTTAAGTGATCCGCCAAGCCTTGTCCCATAGTCCAAATTCAACAGAAGCGTCCTAGAAGGAATAATTAGAGCTACCTATTAACTTTTCAATTGTGATTGGAGGAAGAGAGAAGAATGAAACAGAACCTGATTTAGAGCTAGACCTTTCAGTAGACATGTTTAATGTATGATAGAGATGAAAACTGATCTGGGCAGCAAAAAAATATATTTTCGACGACATAGGATGTTTTCTGGCAACGGTGATGATGTGGCAGGTGTCAGACAGTGATGAGACCTAAGGTTATACTCGTCGGCATTGTCTGAGGCCATTGGTGCTAGTAGAGAGATGTCATGCTCACCAAAGAAGAAGCTGTAGGAAAGATGATCAACGCGTGGAGACATGTGGGATAGCGAACGACAATGATCTTTTGAGGGTTTGACGGTGAGAGAGAGACGAACAAGCTAGTGTTGTTAGATTTCAAAGTCAACACTAGATGGAGGTTGCCTTGAACTTCGCCGGAAAAAAAAAAAATTGCCAAAACAGAAAAGAAGAAAAAAAATTTTAGGGTGTCTGATTTCTTTGCTCTGATACCATGTGAAATCAGAAGAGATAATTCTTAATATTATTGTGAATAATGTACAACAATTATATATACACCCAGTAATCAACAAAATAAGGAAATGAAGTAATTCTATTCCTAGTAAATTTGATCTTTATCTCTAATGTGATAGTATACAACTCAACATCCTAATCCTAACATGATTCTGTACAACTCAACAAGTACCATTACTAATATTGTTTCTGGGAGTGAATACCCAACTACAAATCTATATCTCAGTGAGATTTTTCGGGTTAAGGTCATGCTAGATCATAAGTCAATGGATGAAAATGATTTTATTTGACATATGGTTATGAAATGAAACATAAATTTGACAAGTATTAGGGAGAATGCAACTTGTTGATGTGTGTAGCGGTTGCCCTAGATCTTAGGGGTAAAATGGTAGTGTTGGACTTTTGTTTACCTAAAATGTATGGTGAGATTGATGCCCAAGTACATAAGAGCAAAGTTAAAGATGTGTTGTATCAAATTTACCGTGAGTATGTTGATGATTATCAATCTCAATCCCTAAACATTGAACAACCAACTGCAATGGTTCCTCGGGGTAATGAACATACATAACCTAATGCGTCTTGTTTTGCAATGTTTGTAGAACATATGGAAATGGTTCAAAGTATTCCACTAGAGGAATCAAAGTTAGATAGTTGTTTGGGAGAGGTTTGTTTCATGTTTGCGGAGGGGGATTGTACGAAATTTGAAGCATTGGAGTGGTGGAAGGTTAATACAATGAAGTATCAAATCTTGTCTAGGACGGCTCGTGATATACTAGCCATCCCTATAACCACAATGGCTTTGGAGGCCTCGTTTAGTGCTGGTAGTAGAGTAATAGAAACGTATCGGGCCTTATTGTCTCCAAAAACAATACAAGTGCTCCTTTGTGGAGGTGATTGGTGTTGCCAATTCTATGGAGTTCAGAGAAAGAACAAAGTAAGTGTAAATTGTAACGAGTGATTATTATTTATGCATTTTCACTTACTAGTTAGTAGTTGCTTTCATTTTTGTAATTGAAACTAATATTTTCCCTTGATGTAATTAGCAAAAACAAGTGGAGATTCGGCTTCCAATCGAGTGAAGCTTATGAAGCTTGAATGCTTTTTTTTGCTAGAATCCTGAGGTAATACATCAGCTCTCAATCACTTATGTATTTATATTTCATAATATAACAGTTTTTATTCTTAATTTACAAGTCATTTACAACTGCCCTTTTGTCTAAATTTTCAAGGTTTTTTTAATATAAAGATTGGTTTTTGTAAAGATATGTTGGTTGTTTGAGAGGGTGGAGAAGAGATATGTTTCATAATATAAAGGTTGGTTTTTTTAAGTGTTCTTGTGAACCTAAGCTGTGATGATATTGTTGTGATTCTTGTGAAGTGTTTATTTATGTGATGTTATTGTTGAACTTGTGATGTTTTTATCGAGGGCAGACTATGCAGAAAAGATGTGTTTCCTTCTTGTTGTTGTGTTCCCTTGTTGTTTCTGGGTTTATCTATTGGTTTGGTTGCTGATAAGATACTAAAAACCATTCTTCTATTTGGAGTTCAGTAGATTAAATAAAGATTATGATGATATCTATGAACTCAGATTTTGGAAAATGTTATAATGATTTGTCTTGTTCACTGTTCTGTTAATTGAATTGTAATGAAGTATAAGTATTAATGTATTATTGTTGGCTTGAGTTTTAAACTGGAGACTTAATTTTAACTTACATGTTTGTACTGAAATTTAGATATTCTATAATTCTAAGTAGGGGTGTTTATTATTGCTGCAGGTTTTTTGAATATGGAGTTCTAGACTTTGCTGGAAGGTCTTTTTCTCTTTGCTGGGCAAAATATGTTTTGTCCTGAAATTTAGATATTCTATAATTCTAATTAGGGGTATTTATTGTTGCTGTAGGTTTTTTTAGTATGGAGTTCTAGACTTTGCTGTATTGGATAAGGGTACACCCATGATGGGTTACCCCAAGCGACGTGTGTGAAATGAAACTGCCAAATGCAGTTTCTCTCTAACCGCTACATATAAAGAAAAAGTTCTTTCTTTTAGTAATACACGGTCACTCTCAAAAACAAAAAAAAAAAAAAAATATGCTCTCTCTCTTTAGAATTTGGAAAACAGAAATACATTTTGTGGTTTTTCTTCCAAATTATCTTTGTTGCTTCAGAGATAAGGAAATGAGGTATTTATGCTGTGTTGATTCATTGTAGTTCATTTATATACAAATGTGATTGCAATGGCGACTATGATCTTGGGATTATGTTAGGATATATGTTATTCTATTTTATTTCCAACATTGGTATCAGAGCCTTGTTTCATATTGTTTGAAATTCATACTGTAATGTTGAAGCATGTTATTGGTTTGTCAAATGCAGTTCTGATTTTTTCAAATTTTGTACATAAAAAGTTGTCTTTTTGGTAATGATTATTAGACCATTAAATTCCTTATGAAATTATGAAGAAAATGGTTTTTGAATCATAAAAAATGGAGTTAAAATGACTTAGATATGCCTCTTTGAAGTTTTGGGTTTCGAATGGGTTGATTTCCGGGTCGAGTACCCAGTTGCAGACCCGACTAGAGGTTGAAGATGACATAAACCGACATGTCGTTTTTTATCCACCCTTATGAATGACATGTCGTTTTTTCCTGATTTACTTCCTTTTGAAAAAAAATTTCAAATCAGCGTGGTTGGTGCAACTTGAACCCAAGTCTCCATGGTTGAAACCCAGTACTATAACCACTAGGCTAGTTTTGTTTTAGTGTTAACCATACTCACAAACCCATTATATTCCTATCCGGCCCAACCCATAACCCAAATAAAAAATGGGTCAAGTTGACCCGTGGACCCGACCCATATGACCGAACNTTTGCTGGAAGGTCTTTTGCTCTTTGTTGGGCAAAATATGTTTATCCTGAAATTTAGATATTTTATAATTCTAATTAGGGGTATTTATTGTTGCTGTAGGTTTTTTGAATATGGTATTCTAGACTTTGCTGGAAGGTCTTTTGCTCTTTGCTGGGCAGAATATGTTGGCCTGAAATTTAGATATTCTATAATTCTAATGATGTATATATTTTGTTGCTACAAGTTCAAAGCGTAAAAGTCTGGTGAAAGATAAAGGTGACCTGGCTGTTGCAGCTGCTCAACTGCTGTAAATTTGGTGTTGCTTTGCCAATAGGTTGTATCATGGCTAGTGTAAATTTTATTTTATGTTAGTTTGGACTTTGGAAGCAATTGGCTTGGCCATTGTATTGTGAATGTGAATGAGATAAATACAAAGTCCCAAACTTAAAATGTAATTATGTACTGGCTCCTTGTAATTATGTATTATGTAAATATGTACTGGCTCCTTAATCTTGAAAATATTAATCAACAAGTTTCTCCTCTGGATTCTGTAATCCTGGATATCTCAACTTGGATTCAGTTGAAAATGTAATTTGATTGGTTAATTTGATTTCAATTTCAGTTGCAAATCTGTATATAAAAACCTTAAACAAGCTTTTAAATGAGCTCGATTCCGAGCCTTATAACAAGCTCCTACCTAAGCTATAAAATGGTCTACATATCAAGCGCAATTAACGAGCTAGGCTCGAGCTCGAATTGAGCTTGACCAAATCACGAGCCAAACAAACTGTTCGCGAGCCACAACGAATTGCTGATCTCGATCTCGATCTCGGTTTTCCCTGCTCGTCAGGCTCGAGCTCGTACTCGAACCTGATGAAATGATTGTGAACCAAGCACTATTCAACTTGGCTTAGCTCATATACACCCCTAGACATACATACTAGTTCATGAATACTATTTATTAAAAGGATATAAAATTTATAAATGATGGTGCAA